TCGTCACTGTTCGGACACAAAGGCAAGGCTGAGTAATTGGATGGGAATTGTCAGGTACGCATTTCATTTTTGACTCATTATGTGTCATCTTACCATTCGAGATCGTATTTTAGTCAGTAGGTCATACAGTCCGTCGAAAATTGTGCGCATTGTGACGCTGTTTTACGGGGTTCACGAGATTCGTAGAACGGCTGTTCGCGCAAACGTATAGCCTTTTGTCGTCAATTTCGTGAATTCAAACGCGCGAGTGGTACAAGTGTCTGCGATGCTTGTTCGGAACAACGACGCAGAATTGATCATGCATAAAACAATGCGTGTGGCAATTGAATTTTCTCACGATCTTATCGATGAACGTTCGCGATCGTTGTCGAGCTCCGGGTAATTATTTATTAGAATACCATACCCACTTTTTACATTGTTATTACATTGTTATACATCGGTGGAACATATTTGATATTATTTTATTATTTCAAATATTTCGTATTAATTATACAATGTGATGTCAAAAGGCAAGAAGTAAAAAGAGGTTTTTACTAGCGTGGTTTTTTTACATAATCTTTATTCAATTATTAATCTTTATTCAATTATTCGTACTTATTATCGTAGTACATTTCGCGCTTTGCTTTTGGCATCTCTGGCACAATGTTCAATACTATATTACTTGTTCAATACTATATTAAATAAGAAATAAGTCAGTAGTGTAGTTATTTAAAATAATGAATACTACACGTATAAATAATTCTTTTAATTTTTTATTTAAATTGTATACTTTAATTTACGTCGCTTTTACAAGTATATAAAAATTTTTTAATGGTTCTCACGAGTATCTTGACATCTTTAGAAAGTATTTGTAAAGTTGTATATTTATAGCACATTCTATATAAATTGTTATAACTAAATATAATTAACAAAATGGGAAGTATGTACTTTTTCATACAAAAATGTAAAACTATGAAACAAAAATATCAACTTTAAGATATTGAAACATATTTTTCCTTTAAATTTTTTGTTTCATAGTTTTACATTTTTGTATGAAAAAGTACATACTTCCCATTTTGTTAACTATATTTAGTTATAACAATTTATATATAATTTGTTATAAATATACAACTTTACAAATACTTTCTAAAGATGTCAAGATATACGTAAAAACCATTAAAAAATGTTTATATACTTGTAAAAGCGACGAAAATTAAAGTATACAATTTAAATAAAAAATTAAAAGAGTTATTTATACGAGTAGTATTCATTATTTTAAATAACTACACTTCTGACTTATTTCTTATTTAATATTTTATATAAAAATTTCCGGAAACTATTTTATATTTTTTATTTTAAACAAGTCTTATCTGCTTTTTACCAATGTCTACGATTTTGTATTTTAATTATGTTTCTGAAACTTATTTTGTTTTTTATTTTTAATAATTCGTATGTTATTTTATCGAGTCAAGATCGGCATTATACGTAAGTTTAAAGAATTTCTGAAACACAGATAATTTGCAGTAACTGTAGTGCCGTAAATTAATTTATTAACTGAAAAATTAAGTAATGATTAACAAGATATTTAGTACTTTTAGCCAAAGCGTATTTAGCGCAAATTGTTCCACGATATTAAGAAAATTTGCATGTATCTTTATATAAAGAACATATGTAGAATATTTTATCTTTACGTATTCGTATAAGGTAATTAATTCGTGTTCGTAGTTATTTAATTCGTTCGTACTTATTTAATTTTCATGAAATAATGCGACACCCGGAGTAACTCGTACAATACTTTCGTCCCACCCTCTAAAGTCGCCGATCGAATGCCGAAGTGATGACGTAGTCAACTACCGCGACGCGCGGCACGCTCCCCCACCATGCTCGCCACGTGACACGCTCCCCCTAGCTGTTCACCGGCCGCTCACCTTCATCCCTTCACTGCTTCACTCGTCACCCGGCGCTCTGCCGCGTCGCGTCGTACGCCGTTTGAACTGTCGCGTATGAAAAATATTCATGGTCAATTATTTTATATTTTAGTCAATTATTTTATATTTTACGTGTTTTTGACAAACGGGTATCGTCGTACCCGTATATAAATATTT